ATCCGCCGGATCTGTCCGGAAACGGTGCCGGAGGCCGCTCTGGGCTCCTGTGGGCACCTCCCCCGGGGCCCGTTTTGTGGGGATGTCTCAAGCGAGGGCGCCGGTTTGGGATTCGTCCGCGGATCCGCCGGATCTGTCCGGAAACGGTGCCGGAGGCCGCTCTGGGCTCCTGTGGGCACTTCCCCCGGGGCCCGTTTTGTGGGGATGTCTCAAGCGAGGGCGCCGGTTTGGGATTCGTCCGCGGATCCGCCGGATCTGTCCGGAAACGGTGCCGGAGGCCGCTCTGGGCTCGTGCTCTTCGCGCCGGGGGTGAGGATGACGTGAGTTCCACAGAAACTCCCTCAAATTATGTATCTTTCCTTATGCGTTATTCCTTGGGATAAAAAAAGGGCTTCGTTCCTTATTTATCGTTCCTTAGGTCAGGCCGATGTCTGTACCGACGCAGCCCGATCCGACGCGCGCACTCCGATTCGGTCCGATGTCCCGACTCGATGCTGACTGATCCTGCTCCTTGTTGCCGCTCCCTGACGAACGAACAACACACACCCATACCCATAGGGGGGTCGTTGGGAGGAGGCCTGTCTATGGGTACGGGTGCGGGTTGTCGGACCCTGGGGAACGCTCCCGTTCGAGCGGGGACCCCCATCCGACAACACGCACCTATAGCCCTCTCCGATCCCCCTATATGGATGGGTGTGTGTTGTTGGTTCGTCACTCTTGCTGCTCCTCCTCACGGTTATAATGTTAAGTCGGGCATGTCCCTCTACAGGGATAGTATCCAAATCTAGTCACACTATAGTCTGGGGGCGAGTTGTCGTGCTCCGTTGACTATTGTTGAATCTGTTTTGACTAGTCTTCGTCTTGCTTCTGAAATCCGCCTGCAGGAGGACACGGCCGACCTAATTTTAGTGCCGCCACGGATCTTGACCCGCGGGCCTTGGCAGCCTCGGGGGCCTCTCTGGAGGCCCCAGGAAGTACAAACAACGAAATGCACAAAGCAGCTCAACACATCGGTCTTCGAGTCTCCTGCCCTTATCCTTTTCCCGCTCGTGGCTGTTTCTTCTTTTGACAGGGCGTAACTCGTCTTGCCCCCTCCCATAGACCCCTCCTCCTCAAGAGCGGTAGCGCCCAGAAACTTCTCACAGGCATGCGCAGGCTGACGTACGTCGACAAAGTGTTCATCACCACGCGCATGTTTCTACTTCCCCCCCGCTTCCCACAAATTCGTATTGGCTGCAAGGTGAAAGAAGCTGTGGGAATTCCCCAGGTGATCGACGCAATGTTGCACAATCGAAGAGTTGCGGCTATCCTCAACTGCATCCAATACTAAATCGGGGAGGATGGAGAGGAACAACAAATATCAAGAGTAGCAGCGACACAGTTTGACCTAAGCGCCGCCGGTTGGTGCAGCATTCCAGGTGCCGTATGGTGGTGGTCGTTCCTCACAACACCTGTGCGATTATGCTAGGCTAGGACCAACTGCTGTGACCTCGGGGTCATAGGTCGGAAAGAGCGCGTTTTGTGGTCGCTTGCAGGTTGGGGGGATGTTTGGAACTGGACTCCCCCCCCTCGCGGGACGGAGGGGGGGGGGTTCGACCCCCCCCTCCCCCCTTTTTCTCCTCTCTCCCTCTCCTCGGGCCAGCGCCCGCGTCGGCGACGGCTGGCGGCGGCGGCGGGGGTGCTGGTTGTGGTGGTAGTGGCGGTGGTGGTGGTGGTGAGGTGGTTTGTGGTAGTTGTGGTGGTGGTTGTGGGGTGTGCTGCTGGTAGTCTAGTGGTGGTGGTTGGGGCGGTGGTGGTGGTGGTGGTGATGTAGTAGATTGTGGTGGTGGTGGTGGTGGTGGTAGTGGTGGTGGTTTGTTGTATTGGTGGTGGTGATGGTGAGCTGTTGCGGTGGCGGTGGTGGTCGTGGTTGTGTGGTGGTTTGGTGGTGGTGGTGGTGGCTTGAGGTGGTGATGGTGGTTGTCGTGGTAGTGGCGGTGGTGGTTGTGGTGGCGTTGTGGTTTGTGGTGGTGGTGGGCTGTGGTGTTGGTGGTGCTGGTGCTGCTGCTGCTGGTAGTGGTGCTGGTGGTGGTGGTGGTGGGTGGTGGGTGGTGGGTGGTGGTGGTGGTGGTTGTGGTGGTGGTGGTGGCGTGGTGGTTTGTGGTGGTGATGGTGGTTTTGGTGGGTTGTGGTGGGTTGTGTTGGTGCTCGTGGTGGTGGTGTTTTTGGTGGTGGTGATAGTTGTGAGGTGTTTTGTGGTGATGGTGGTGGTGGTGATGGTGGGTTGTTTTGGTGGTGGTGGTGGTGGTGGTGGTCGTGGTGGTGGCGGTGTTGTTGTTGGTGGTGGTGGTGGTATGGTGGTCTGTCGTGATGGTGGTGGTGGTGGTGTGGCATTCGGCTCTTCCCGCCACTGTGTTTTGGCTTTGAATCAGAGTTCTGATGGATGCCTCTTGAGATCTCAGCAGAAGGGTCTCGGGGGCGTCTGAGGAGCATGCGAGGGCTCGATATGGCGCTGCTGGCCGCCGCCAGCGCTGGCGCCGGCGCTGGGGGGGGGGTTTAACCCCCCCCTCCTCCTGGATCCTCTCTGGTCATCGTCGCTGCGTTGGCTCTGCGGCGGACGCCGGCGCCGGCGCCGGGGGAGGGGGGGGGGGCTTTTGGACCCCTCCCCCCCTGGAAAGGGGAGGAGGGGGGGGTTCGGGAGGGGGGGGGGCGGTAGGGGGGAGGGGAGTCCCCCTTGCTCGGCCCACCCCCCGGCTCGAAACGCGCCGCCGAATGTTCCCAAGGCAAGCGCCCGTGAAACGCGGTCTCTGATAGTTTGATATGTATACAATCACTGCATGGTGCATGGTATTATGTGGATCCCTTGTGGTTATCAGAGGTTCCTCCTGCGACACCTCGCACAGGCTGCATAGTAGATGTCCTTGTTGGTGCTCGCGCGTTTCTGTGATACTGCTAGGGTCTGTCACACTACTGTGCGTAGCGTCTGGCACCAGGGTTCTGGCGTCAGGTGGCACTAGCGCACCGCAGCCGCGGTTTCCGTCACCCTCCCATCATCCTCCACCTCGGCCGGCGGCTCGCTGCTAGATTGCTGGACTCCATGGGCAGCGCCTCTTGCGCGACGCGGTGTGCGTGAAACTCTCGCGTCCGAGCTGGCGATCGACGGACTTCTCCCGTGACGAGATGCGTCCACACGCCCTCCGCTCCGTGCCCCCCCGCTCGCGGCAGCGTGAGCGTGCCCCGCTCGCGGGGAGAGCGCCGCCATCCCACAGGGGCGGGCGAGGCCCTTGCGCCGTGGAGCGGGATCCGCCCCCCATCTCCACCTCCGGGGGACGAGGCCAATTGGCGGCGCGCGAGGGGGGGGAGGGGGCGGCGCGCGGGGGGCGGTCTTTTGCTGATGAAGCCGGGAGGGCTTCTGCGTATGAAGGCCAGGGGGCGTCCCAGGAGGCCCCCATCAAGGGCTTTCAAAACGCCCCCACCCTGGTTTACGAGGCGCCGTGCGCGGAAGCTCCTGTGGGCTGACATGGTAAACCCTGCGTGATGTGCGGCGTCCTGGCGTCCTCTGGGCTCTGGGGGCTTGCCGTTTTTTCATCCCTCAACTCCAGGCCGCTAAGGATTACCAGCCTGGAACATATCCCCATCCCCATGCTGGGCACCTCCTCATCACGATGCCGCTCTTGGGGATTCCCTTATTTTTTTTGAGGGCGAATCCCTTAGATTGTCATCGCCTCTTGGCGTGTCAATATTAGGGATAGGGATACGTTCGAGGCTGGTAAACAAGAGCCTCTTCCTCAGAAGCCTTCGGGGCCCTCCCGCGGGGGCGCCCCGCGCCCTCTCTGAGGAGCCCCCCCGCTCCCTCGGGAGACCGGGGAGGGGGTGTGGAGCCCGGTTGGCTTCACGTCGGCGTCGGCGATGCCCCGCCAAAAATCGACGATGCGTCGCCAGCGCAACGCCGATGCATTGCCGATGCATCGCCGATGCATCGGCGATCTGGCGCGACCCTCCGGTCCCATCTATTCCGGACCCCCCCATCGAGGATGCGTCTAGGGACGCGGGAGGAGGGGGGGGGAGGACTGCCCCGCGGGCCGCGGTGCCGAGCGCGCCCAGGACTCCCCCGCGGGCTGGCCGGGGGACGACCTCCAGGAGGAGGAGGAGGAGGAGGAGGAGGAGGAGGAGGAGGAGGGGGAGGAGGAGGGGGAGGAGGGGGAGGAGGAGGAGGGGGAGGAGTGGGGGGAGGACGAGCCGAATGCAGGGCCCCCCCCCCCCCCCCCGGCCGCAGCAGGACCCGGGGACGGCCTGCACCAGACGGTCACCTTCGTCCAGGACCCCGGCGCCAGCTTCGCGGACCTAGGCGTGCCGGCGGGGGGGTCGCCGCGGGCGGCCGTCCATGGAGAAGCTGCCTGCCCGGAGCTGGGGGGAGGCCCCCCTCTCTCCCTCCTCGGTATCCCCATCGTTGACAGCACCGGCACTTCCACTCTCGTCGTTTTCCCGCCTCCGCCCCTCGCTCCCATTCTCATCCATTCAACTCCTCCTTGCTCGTCGAACCTATACATATACATTTGTATAGTATATATATATATAAGTATATACACACATGCATGCATATATCCACACACATATACACATATACCTCCTCCCAGCTTCGTACGTCTATATATACGCATATATGCATGTATAATATAGCTCTCTCTCTCTCTCTCTTTCTCTCTTTTCGAATGCAGGGCCCATTCCAAGCAACCCTTGGTTTCTTGGGTTTCGATGGTTTTGCCATGGAGAGCGTAACGTTCCCACACCAAAAACTCATGGACGTCCTGGGGTCTCAGGGTCGGGTGTCTTGTGGAAGGCTTTTTGTGGTCGGGCCTCCACTGTGCCGCTGGCATAGTGTTCGGTAAGTCTGACCGACCAGCAGACGAGGGCTGCAATGGTAGTTCTCCCCCCGAGCCTGGAGAACGTCGCCGCCCTCGACCATGGTTTGCGTTCTGTACAGCGCTCGGACCGGAGCTCTGTGTTCGTCTGCGTCGGCAGCAAGGTCTGCTCCAGGCTTAGGCTTCTAGCCACACCACGACAAGTTATCTCGGGAGATGGACGTACAGAGTTCTCAAGGGCAGGCACCCACGTCGGAAGGACGTCTTAGCGAAAGCAAAAAACTGGCGTGTAATCGCACGTCGGCGCCAGAGGTCAAAGTTCGGCGGCTACAATCGGTGCGGTTACGCCGGGGTGCGGTTTGCGAGTTGCTTTGTGACGGCCTTTCCGGGGCCTTTGTGAGAGACAATGTCATATTTGTCGTCGTTTCGAGCGACACTGTCATCCTCGATGTGTGCTCCACTGTGTTAGAAGGAGCGACAGTGTCACCCGTTTCCCGGGGGCGGGAGGGGCAGATAGGACGGGAGGCGAGCCGCACCCTTCGCAAATCGCACCCATTGTAGCCGCCGAAAAGTGGAACACTTCCTCTCACCTTCATGGCCCCTTTGGCCGCGCGCAGTAGCCTTTCGGCGCCCGAAGCAGCCGCGGAGGGCAGAGCGATGCACAGGCGGGTGTTTCGCGAGGCCGTTGAAGTTCTGACCGTCATGTTTCGCGAGGCCGTTGAGGAGGAGGAGGGGGGGGAGGAGGAGGAGGAGGAGGAGGAGGAGGAGGAGGAGAGAGGAGGAGGAGGAGGAGGAGGAGGAGGAGGAGGAGGAGGAGGAGGAGGAGGAGGAGGAGGAGGAGGAGGAGGAGGAGGAGGAGGGAGGAGGAGGAGGAGGAGGAGGAGGAGGAGGAGGAGGAGGAGGAGGAGGAGGAGGAGGAGGAGGAGGAGGAGGAGGAGGAGGAGGAGGAGGAGGAGGAGGAGGAGGAGGAGGAGGGAGGAGGAGAGCGAGGAGAGGAGAGGAGGAGGAGGAGGAGGAGGAGGAGGAGGAGGAGGAGGAGGAGGAGGAGGCGTCTCGTATCGGGACCATGGCTTTCCAGAATGAGCTTCGGCCGGGCCCTATGCCGTCTGCTGCTTCTCCTCCCCTGCCTCCCCCTCCTGCCCGGAGCAGCCGGCGCAGGGTTTCGCCCACATCTGTGTGCGATTGCTTGAGCTTGGGTTCTGGCCCACGCGACAGGCGGTGTATGGCTTGTGGGTGCATGCCGCGAGCGCCTGATAATTTTCACCCGCCCATGCCCCAAGTCGCCGCCGCTTCGAGGTCATATAGGCCTTGACTGACGTTGACCTCGCTCCCACCAGGCTGCATTTCTTCGGCCTCCCCGCAGCAGCATGAGAACATCCAGGCAGTCCCACCGACGGTGGCCTTGGGGGGTCCAGAGGGGATCGCGGCCGGCAGGTTCGATCTGCGTGTACGTCGCCGAGAAGACGATGCTCTTGCTGGGGGGCAGGGGTGGCCGAAGAGCCGCGCGGGGAGCAGCCGGCGCAGGGTTTCGCCCACATCTGTGTGCGATTGCTTGAGCTTGGGTTCTGGCCCACGCGACAGGCGGTGTATGGCTTGTGGGTGCATGCCGCGAGCGCCTGATAATTTTCACCCGCCCATGCCCCAAGTCGCCGCCGCTTCGAGGTCATATAGGCCTTGACTGACGTTGACCTCGCTCCCACCAGGCTGCATTTCTTCGGCCTCCCCGCAGCAGCATGAGAACATCCAGGCAGTCCCACCGACGGTGGCCTTGGGGGGTCCAGAGGGGATCGCGGCCGGCAGGTTCGATCTGCGTGTACGTCGCCGAGAAGACGATGCTCTTGCTGGGGGGCAGGGGTGGCCGAAGAGCCGCGCGGGGAGGCTGTCCAGGGAGCAGCCAGCTACAGACTGGCGCGCGGTGTGGTCCGTAGCGGCGTGGCGAGATACGACCTTGTAGGCAAAGTTGGTCTGTGACTCTGCTGGCTTGTTTTCTGGGGGCGGGAGGGATCTGTTTGTGCAGCCAGTGCCCGCATCGGAAATGGACTGTCGCAGGAACCAGATACAGACCACATCGCTGACTGGACCCACCGTTTCTCTGGCCTTGTATCGGCTCGCGAAGACCGTGTGAGGTTACGACCTTCGCTCGCTGCAGCGGACTGCAAAAGCAAAGCGACTTCCGCTGCTGCCGGCGATGAGAGAGAATCTCGGTGTTGTTGTGCTTCTGTGCGGCTGGGGTGTGTTCTTGAGCGTTATGGTGGGTTTTTTTTGTTGGGTGGGTGGGGCAGGGAGAGTTGCTCAGGAGGGGGAGGAAACACACACAGACACGAATCATCGTCGACCCCCAGGAAGACACAGGGGAGGTAATGGGAAGCGCAGGGGGGAAGCCCGGAGCCAAGAACATGTGGGCAACCATGGGGAAGCCTGGGACTTGTGTCTGTTGATTGGTGTGTCCCCTGGGCCCCTCTGGTTGCACCCGTCATGGGGCTCTCTTGGGGGCCTCTTGGGCGATCTTGGGTGGGGGCCTCTTGGGCCGTCTTGAGCCGTTGGAATGCCGAGAAGAAGCAAATGCCAAAATCCTTCAAACACCTTTTTGGAAAATCAATGACTTCGGCATCTTCGGGCCCTCCTGGAGGACCTCTTGGAGGCCTCTTGGGCCGTCTGTCTCTTGTGGATAGGGGGCCGGCCAGCCAAAGAGGGCGTGCAGACAGCCGGCCACCCTCTGCGCTTGCCGCGGCCCTGGCGGGAGAGCGGCCCGTCTCCCGAGGGGCGGCGCGAGGGCGCGGAGGCGTTGGACGCCCGAAGTGGGCACGGACAGGTCTACGGTGCCCAACGGCAGTCCTTGCACACGCTGAGCAGGGCTCGCGGGCCGCGCCTGCCGCGGCCTCCTGTGCCCCATGCGAGGCAGAGGGCGCCCGCCCGACGGCGGCCGCTGCTGGTCTGGGGCAGCGTCTGTCAGGAGGGGAAAACACACACAGACACAATTCATCGTCGATTCCCAAGGAAAATATGGGAAAATATGGGAAGTGGTGGGGAAGACAAGAACCCAGAAAATATACGAAAATGTGGGGAATCTTTTTATTTGTGTGTATTCATTTGTGTGTCCCAGTTCCCCTTCAATCTGGTGTCGGGCAGCGTGCCCACTCCTTCGTGGGTGTGCCCCCGGGGCCCCTCTGGCTGCACCCGTTTTTCTTGCAGGCGGGGGCATAGGCCAGCCACGGGCCCCCAGAGATCCGACGCCGTGGTTTTTTCAATACTCAGGAGGGGAAAAACACACACAGACACAACTAATCCTCGATTCCCCAGAAAATATGGGAAAATATGGGAAAATATGGGGAATCTTTTTATTGGTGTGTATTTCTTTGTGTGTCCCAGGGCCCCTTCAAATACGCGGTCCCCAGAAGTCTTGACCCATTCCTCGGGACGGGTGTTTCATCCCGAGTCGTTTTTTGCCGGCCCCGAGGCCCGGCGAGGGCCCTCGTGGGCCGAAATCTGCGAGAAACCTCCATCTTGATGTTCCCAACGCGCTGGATCTCTGATCCTTATTTTTGGGTTCCTTGGGTCCTTATTTAGGGTTCCTTGGGTCCGACTGTGTGGAAGCTGTCCGGCGGACGTCCGGCCTCGCTAGAGACAGGAGGAGCCACCTCCACGTCGTGGGGCGGCCCTCGCTCTCCGCCGGCTGAGCCGCTCCACCTCGCGAGGCCCTCGCCGGACACGAGAAAGGATGGGACCGAAAATCGACTACACGTAAGAGTGACCTTTCGCCGGAGTGACCTTTGGTGCGGGCTCATCGGGCTCCCCCGGGTAGCCGAGCGCGACGCGATATGAGCGGCCCGCGCCCTTGGGCTTGGCTCCCTCGCGCTCCCACAAGCTGCGCACCAAGGGTCACTCTTACCCAGGGTCACTCTTACGCCTAGCTGGGAAAGGCAACATGGTTTCTTGTGTAAGTCCTTGATCGGGTATGGCCAGGGCCCCGGGTAAGGGGACCCGGTTCGTGGTAGGGCCCCGGAGCCCTCGAGTTGGCCAGAATCACTGAACCAGGTTTGCCATAGCTGGTGTTTTTTCGGGAGACGGCAGTTCCGGTTAGTGGAAATGGGACGGGGGGGCGCCCCCAGTACAGATCACTAAACCAGGTTCCACTAAACCCAGTTCTACCAACGCCCGACTTGAGCGGGAGGCCGATCGCATGGAACAGCAAGGGCCAGAGGTCGCCGGGCTGCCGCGTGCCGCTATGGCGCTGGTCTCGACGCCCCCTGCCCCGACCCGCGTCGTCATGATCTGCTCGTCACGTCGAACCCCAGAGGCCTCGACGCCTTCCCCGGGATCGGTTTCTTATTCATGGGATGTTTTTGGACGGTTCGGAGGCCCGATTAGGGCCCCCCAGAGGTATACATGCATACATACATACATACATACATACATACATGCATGCATGCATACATACATACATACATACACACACATACATACATACATACATACATACATACATACATACATACATACATACATACATACATACATACATATATACATACATCCATACATACATACATACATACGTACATACATACATACATACACACATACATACATACATACATACATACATACATACATATGTATATATATAGTATTAAGTGTATGCATGTGTCTGTGTGTAAAAACACTGGGCGCCGCGCAAGGGTGGGGGGCGACAAATGGGGGTGCAGCGAGAGCGGCCCAAGAGGGGGCCTGTAGGGCCCGCAAGGGGCACTTTCTCCTCCCCTTGTCCCGCGCTGGTCACCGCCCACTGACATTCGCGCCTGCGGGCTCGCTCTTTGACGGCCCCGAGGCCCGGCAAGGGCCCCCCGGAGGCTAAAGGTTATGAGAACCTTCCCGCCGTGTCTCAGAGCGTGAATTTCCTACCCCGCTTTCGCTTCCAGGCAAAACCAAGTCATACCACGCGCCTCCTCGTCAAGCGGCCTGACCAGTACAGGCCGTATCTTGGCATCGCTTGGTATCTCTTGGAAGTGAGGGTGGTTAAAAGCGAGGTAGGTTTGTTTTCCCCCTAGTGTCTGGGCTCCCGCCGGCCGAGGCGGCGCGGGACATTGAGCACAAAAAGACCCCCAACCCTTGCAGTCGAAAGCCCAACGAAGGACGCGCGACTTTGCTCAGGGTACCCTTGCATCCTTGCTCTTCCTTGCTCCTTGCGTCCTTGGGCTTTTCGTCGTCCGCCGCCCCAGAAATCCCAACTTCGGCTTCCAAGGGTCTTGCGTCCTTACAGCGCGTCCTTATTAGGGTTTAACCATTTTGATCAGATGAAAGCGTTATCTCGCTGAGGTCCCCGTCTTCACGTCAGGGATCATAAATCTGGGCGGTGTGGCCTGGCACATCTGCGCAAAAGGCCCCTCCATGATGTCTATGGCCCTCCGATCAGTGGCTGAAAGATGGGGTCCTGAAGGATGGGGGCCTTAGGATAGGAAGGGATCCAGGGGTAAATAGACATGGTTTGAGGCACGTCGTCCTTAGGACCCCATCCCTCAGGACCCCATCTCTGAACCACCGATCCTAACTCGTGTCGCCTCCGAGAAGTTTAGGGTCTTTTTTGGGTGAATCCGCGGGGGCGCCGAGAGGCCCATGCCAAGAAACACCCTGCTTGCCTCCAGGGTGCCCTGGGTTTCTTGGGTTTCGATGGTTTTGCGATGGAAAGCGTGACGTTCCCTCACCAAGCATCCACGGACGCCCCGGGATCTCAGGGTCGGGCTTCTTGTGGAAGGCCTCTTGCGGTCGGGCTCCCACTGCAATGTTTCTGGCCCTCCGAAGTCGGGTCCCCTCCCAAGGGCCTTTTTGTTGGTGAGCCCGCTGGTGCGCCTATAGTCAGGAGAGGGAAAAACACACATACACAATTAATCGTCGATTCCATGAAAATATTGGGAAATATGGGAAGTGGGGGGGAGGACAAAAACCCAGAAAATATAGGAAAATATATGGAATAATGTTTATTTGTGTGTATTTATTTGTGTGTTCTGGGGCCCCTTGATAGAGGCAAGGGCCCACCCCAGGAGGCTTTGCCCCCGGGGGGTGGCGCCTGCCGACGGCAGGCGCGCCGGGGGGCTGCCTCGGGAGGCCGCCCGCGCGCGGCGCCCGGGGGGGAGTCGGGCGTGTCCCTCCACAGGAGGAGTCTTGAAACGCATTGTTTGTTTACCTCCAGGGGACCCTATAGCCAAGCCCCCGCCCCTCTAAAAAACTCCCCGCGCCCGCACTCCCCACTCTTGGGGGAAACAAACAAGCAATATCGATACCGCTCCCCCCGGGATATTTTCCAGGGTGCGTTCTGGCCAGGAGTTCGGGGCGAATCCAGCGGTGGCGACGACGGCCTCCCAGGAGGCCGACCAAAAAGGAACACGGGCAAAGCGGAGCGGTTACTCCAGATGTCGTAATAAAGGGAGGGGGGTCTCATTTCGGGGGGGGGTCTCTTCCAGGCTATCTTGG